TCACAATGGCCAGGCCTGAGCCAGGAGCTCCTTCCAGGTCTCCCACATGGGTGCAGGGGCCCAAGGACTTGGCACATCTTCTGCTGCTTTCCCAGGTGCATTAGGGAGCTGGATCGGAAGTCGAGCAGCTGGGTCTCAAACCAGTGCCCAAATGGGATGCCGGCGCTGCATGTGGCAGCTCTATCCATTGCACCGTAGCGCTGAACCTGCAGGCTATTTTTCAAGTTGATAATTTTGTGTGGCCTGCAAATGATGTTATAAATACCTGATTGGCCCTTGTCACCCACCCCTGGTAGACAAAGTCTCTGGGGGATAGGACTGGCATTGGAGTAGAGTGGCTGGCCCTGCTTTCTCATGCAGACTTGCATACGCAATGTTGCAGTGCACACATTCTTCTGACGAGAAGAGAAATGGCCACAGAGACGAAACAGCCAGCCAAAGGGACAGAGCCAGAGGCAGGCAGACACAGAGATGCTGACGCTCAGTCTGAAGCTAAGGATTCTCCATTCCAGAAAGATCCCTTCCTGCACAGCCACATCTGGCTTCATTTTTTGGTTCCCTTCTCCACTCCGCCACCATCCCATTTAGTAACCTCAACCCAGGAACTCAGCTGGGCCGTATCTAGCACAGCAAGTTACTGCAAGACCTAAACCAATGCTCGGGAGAAGGCAGAGGGCCGGTTAGCAGTGGGGAGGATCTTGGGTGCAGAGTCTGGGGGAGAACACTGGACTCGAGGTTAGATAGCAGACTGCCCTGAGGCCTGGCCCCTCCGTTTACTGTGACTTTGGACGCGGTCTCACTAACAGAACTCCACAAGGGACAGGGATTGCTGCCAACGACTGGTCGGTGCTTGGCACCTAGAATGGTGCTTGGCTTCTAGTAGACTGCCAATGTTCTCTGTTTGCTTGTTCATTTAAGAGGCAGAGACGATGGGGAGCTCCCGTTCGCTGGTTCACAGCCAGGACTGGGCCAGGTGGGCCAAAGCCAGGACCTTGGATCTCAGTTCAGGTCTCCCACATGAGTGGCAGGGACCCAGCTCTCTGAACCCTGACCACTGCCCCTGAGGAAAGCTGGAGTCAGGAGTCAGAGCTGGGGCTCAAACCCAGCACTCCAGTGTGGAAAGCAGCTGTCTTTTTTTTTTTTTTAAACTTTATTTATTTATTTGAAAGTCGGAGTTACAGAGAGAGAAGGAGAGGCAGAGAGAGAGAGAGAGAGAGGTCTTCCATCCGATGGTTCATTTCCCAGTTGGCTGCAATAGCTAGAGCTGTGATAATCTGAAGCTGGGAGCAAGGAACTTCCTCTGGGTCATTCCATGCGGGTGCAAGGGCTCAAGGACTTGGGCCATCTTCTACTGCTTTCCCAGCCCATAGCAGAGAGCTGGATTGGAAGTGAAGCAGCCAGGACTCAAACCGGTGCCCATAGGGGATGCCGGCACTGCAGGCAGCGGCTTTACCTGCTGTGCCACAGCGCCGGCCCCGGCAGCTGTCTTAACTGCCAGACTAAATGCCCACTACATGAGGAAGGCACTGTGATGCAGAGGGCCCAGTGCTTGGGACACCTGGATCCCATACTGGAGTGCCAGTTCAAGTCCTGGCTACTCCACTTCCAATCCAACTTCCTGCTAATATTCCTGGGAAGGCAGCAAATGATGGCCCAAGTACTTGGGTCTGACACTCCCAGGGGAGACCCAGATGGAGTTCTGGATTCTGGTCTCCTGGCTTCCACCTGGGCCAGCCCTAACTGTTGCAGGCATTTGGGGGGTGAACCACCACATGGAAGTACACTTGCTCGCTCTCTTTTCCTGTTACTCTGCCTTCCAAATAGACCTTAAAAAAATGCCCACTCCCCTTCAATGGATATATTCTTTCTTCTTTTTGAACAGGAGAGTGGGACAGTGGAGAAGACAGAAAGAAAGTCTTCCCTTTGCCGTTGGTTCACCCTCCAATGGCCACCGCGGCCGGCGCGCTGTGGCCGGCGCACCGCGCTGATCCAATGGCAGGAGCCAGGAGCCAGGTGCTTTTCCTGGTCTCCCATGGGGTGCAGGGCCCAAGCACTTGGGCCATCCTCCACTGCACTCCCTGGCCACAGCAGAGAGCTGGCCTGGAAGAGGGGCAACCGGGACAGAATCCGGCGCCCCAATCGGGACTAGAACCCGGTGTGCCGGCGCCGCTAGGCGGAGGATTAGCCCAGTGAGCCGCGGCGCCAGCCTCAATGGTTTTGAAATGAGAGGATGAATGACCTCTGCCTTGGGCCATCACTTTTAAAAATGGGGTAGATGGGAATCGTCTCTCTCCATGAGGGGCTTTGTGATACTCTAACACAGCATGAGCAAATGTCACCTGCTTCAGAATGCTCTGGCAGGGAAGAAAGTGAGGAGGAAGGGATGGGGAATGGTTGATCGGTGGCTGCTAAATCACAGCTAGGTAAGAGAAGTTCCGGGTTTGCAGCGTGCAGTAGGGTAACTACAATGTTAACATATGGGGTCCATGCTGTGGTGTAGCAAGTTAAGCCACTGTCAGCAGCACCAGCATCCCATATGGGCACTGGTTCGAGTCCTGACTGCTCCACTTCTGATCCAGCTCCCTGCTAATGTGCCTGGGAAAGTAGCAGAGGATGGCCCAACTTTTTGGGCCCCTGGACACACATGGGAGACTTGGAGGAAGCTCCTGGCTTCTGACTGGCCCAGCCCCAGCCACTGAGGTCATTTGGAGAGTGAACCAGTGGGTGGAAGATCTCTCTCTCTCTTTCTCTAACTCTGCCTCTCAAATAAATAACATTTTTTTAAAAAGTTAATGTATATTTCCACAAAAAGATTAGAATATAGGATTTGGAATGTTTTTGCCATACAGAAATGCTAGATGTTTGAGAAGACAGATATACTTACCTTGATTGTACACGTATCAAAACATCACATAATGGGGCCGGCGTTGTGGTGCAGCTGGTTAAAGCCCTGGCCTGAAGCACTGGCATCCTATATGGGCGCCGGTTCTAGTCCCAGCTGCTCCTCTTCTGATCCAGCTCTCTGCTATGGCCTGGGAAAGCAGAAGATGGCCCAAGTCCTTGGGCCCCTGCACCCACGTGGGAGACCTGGAAGAAGCTCTTGGCTCCTGGCTTCGGATCAGCACAGCTCAGGCAGTTGCAGCCACCTGGGAGTGAACCAGCGGATGGAAGACCTCTCTGTCTCTACCTATCTCTGCAAATCTGTCTTTCAAATAAATAAAATAAATCTTAAAAAAAAAATCCCATAGTACTCCCAAAATTAAGTATAATTTTTATGTATCTGTTTAAAGAATTTAAATAGGGATGGGTGTTGTATGCCCACGTCCCACACCGGAGTGCAGTTTGAGTCCCAGCTCATCTGCTTCCAATCCATCTTCCTGTGAATGTATCTTGGGAAACAGCAGATGAGGGCTCAAGTATGGGTCCCTGCCACCCAAGGGGGAGACCTGCATGGAGTTCCAGGCTCCTGGTTTTGGCTTGGAGCATTTGGGGGATGAACTTGTAGATGGAAGGTCTCTCCCTGTCACTCTGCCTTTCTAATAAACAAAAATAAAAATGCTTTTCATAAAAATAAATAAAACAGGTCCAGGTGCCACTGCTTAGAATACAGGCATCCCATGTCAGAGCACCTGGCAGAAGTCCCAGTTACTCCATGCTTAATCCAGCTTTCTGCTGATGTACTGGGAGGTAGCGAGTAATGACCCAAACACTTGGGTTCCTGTCACTGCTGTGAGAGCCCTGGCTGTTGCGGGCATCTGGAGAGTGAACCAGCAGATGGATGATGTCGACTCTCCCTCTCTGCCTTTCAAATAAATAAATCTTTTTTTAACAATCAAGTGCTAACTACTATGCAGATGGAAGGCAGCAAGCAGCAGAGTGGACTGTCAGACGTGGGGGCTCAGGAGGCCAGGACTTGGCCAATTCCCCAAGATACTATCCATGGCTTCTGGGTCGCCGACGCTGCAGATGGTACTGCTGGGTGCCCAGCCATCACCTACTCTACCACTCCCCTTACAACCAGAACCCTACTTCCATCTGAAGGACACTGTGCCGTGTCCTTGCCTCCCTGCGCTTCTGTGTGGCCCGGCTGTAGTCAGCCAGGCAGAACCCGAAGCCTGAAGTTCTTGGGAGGGAATCAAGGTGCTCTTCGCCCTTCCTCCTTCCTCTTTGAAAGGTGGATGAAGCTTGAAAATAAAACTGGGCCATGCCCTCCTGGACAAAACATACAGCACTAAGGATGGCGGGCAAGCCCACATCCTCGAGGCCATTCCAAAGCAGACCTCCTAGTCTCAAACTTCCTCCAGCTTAGAAAAATAGCCTCGTACTTAGGGCACTGTAGTGAGATTTCTGCTAGCAGCAGCTGCGCATAATCCTAAATGATACAGCACTGCACTTGAAATAGCTCACTTACTTCTCATATAATCCTATAAAATAGGTATCACCAATGCCAATTTCACAGATAAGAAAATGGGAGCTTGGAGAAGTGAAGAAAATGGCCCAAGGCCAGAGAGCTCCCCAGTGGCAGAGCTGCTATTTGATTCCCAGGCCTACAGGATTTTTTCTTTTTTTACTTTTGCCATAATCTCCAAGGCAGAACAAGGAAGGCATTTAAGGACCCACTGGAGGGCTTCCAGGTCTGCAGGGGACATGGGCTCTATGCACCTTCCGAATCCTGCCAAGGCAGACATGCAGGTGGGGAGGAAAGAGCGAGCCCCTATGGAAGTGGGGTAGGCACTGGGCCTGTGGCTAAGATGCCTGCATCTGGGTTCAGCACCCAGCTCCTGGTTCCTGTTCCCCCCAGTGCTGAGGTTCGAAGGCAGTGGTAATTGTTCAGGTGATGAGGCTCCTGCCTTCCACGTGAGGAACTTAGATCGTGTTCCTAGTTCCAGGCTTTGGCTCCAGGCCAGCCCTGGCCACTATGGGCATTCAGGAAGTGAACTAGCAGATGAGGGCTCCCTCTCTCTCTCCAGTGAATTCATTAATTTTAAAAAAGAAAAAAATACAAAGTCCATGGAGCTTTTATTTTAGAAGAAGACATAGAGTAAACAAACACAGGGGTAGATGTTGTGGCACAGTAAATTACGCCAGCACTTGGGATGTGCCTGGTTTCAGTCCCTGCTGATCCACGCTACCCAGCTTCCTGCTGACACACTGTGAGGCAGCAGAGGATGGCCCAAGTACTTGGGCTCCCGCCGCCCAGGTGGAGGACCTGAACGGAGTTCCTGGATCCTGGCTGTTGTAGGCATTTGCAAAGTGAATCAGCAGGTGGAAGCTCTCTTCCTCTGTCTCTGCCTGCATTTCCAATCTTTGAAAAATTAGCAAATACACTATACATGTGTCAAGGGATGATGAGTACAATGAAAAATTAAGCAGGTAAGGGGAATAAAGAGTGTTATTCTTTAAAAATTCTTTTACTTGAAAGGCAGAGATCTTCCATTCACTGGCTCACTTCCCAAATCCCCCAGGGCATTGCAAGACTGAAGCCAGCAGCCTGAAACTCAACCTAGGCCTCCAATGTGGGTGACAGGGACCCAAGTACCTGAGCCATCCTCTGATGTCTTCCCAGGATGTGCACTAGCAGGAATCTGGATGGGAAGTGGAACTGGAACTTAACCCTGCCCCAAGGTCTTACAGACATCGAGAAAGTCCCTGAGGTGACAAATCTACCAGACCTTTTAAGTACTGGGGTGAGGTGGCATTGTAGTATAGCAGGTTAAGCTGTAATGTCAGTATCCCATATGGGTACCGGGCTCAAGTCCTGACCACTCCACTTCCAATACAGCTCCCTGCTAATGCTCCTGGGAAAGCAGCAACAGATAGTCCAAGTGCGTGGGCCCCTGCACCCATGTGCAAGACCTAGATGGAGTTTCTAGCTCCTCCCTTTGGCCTCACAAAGCCCTGGCCATTGCAGCCAAGTGGGTAATGAACCAACAGATGGAAGATCTGTCTCTCTTCTCTGCAACTCTGCCTTTTAAATAAAATCTTTATTGCTGCCTGAGATGCCAGCATCCCATTTGGGTTCAAAACTCAGATGTTCCTCTTCCAATCCAGCTCCCTGCGAATGCACCTGGGAAAGCAATGGTCCAAGTGCTTGGGACCCAACACCCACATGGGAGTTCTGGAAGAAGCTTTTGACTCCTGGCTTTGGCCTGGCCCAGCCCTAGTGGTTATTTGGGGAGTGAACCAGTGGATGGAAGCTAGCTCTCTCTCGTTCTGTGTGCCTCTCTTCCTTTCTCTGGGTAACTCTAACTTTAAAATAAATAAATGTGTTAAAAAAAAATTTGAAAGGCAGAGTTAGAGAAGAAGACAGATTTTCCATCTGCTGGGTCATTCTCCAAATGGCTGCAATAGCTGGGGCTGGGCCAATCTAAAGCCAGGAGCCAGGAGCTTCTTCTGAGTCTCCCATACGGGTGCAGGGGCCCAAGGACTTGAGCCATCCTCTGCTGATTTCCCAGGTGCATTAGCCGGGAGCTGGATAGGAAGTGGAACAGCTGGGGCTCAAACTGATGCCCATATGCGATGCCAGCACTGCAGGTGGCAGCTTAACCCGCTGTATCACAGTGCTGGCCCCAATAAATAAATCTTTATTAAAAAAAATGATGAGGGGAGTGGGTGTGCGGTGCAGCAGTTAAGATGCCCCTCAGGACACCTGCATTCTGTATTAAAGTGTCTGGGTTGAGTCCTGGCTCCACTTCTGATTCCAGCTTCCTAATGTGCACCCCACGAGGCAGCCAGGTGATGGCACAAAGGCTTGGGTCCCTCCTGCCCAAGACCTGGACAGAGTTCCTGGCTCCGGGCTTCAGCCTGGCCTGTCTGCCTCTATCTCTTTCTCTGCTTTTTGATAAAAAAAAAAAAAAAAAAAAAAAAGTAAAAGTAGGATGAAAAAATAAAGGAGATGGATTACGCCGTGTGGATCCTGGCAGAAAGCAGGAACTGCCAGCTGAGGCTGTGGGGCAAGAGTGTGCGTGGCAGAGCTGCAAGGGAGCCAGTGCAGCAGGAGAGGGCGACAGCTGACAGGGGAACAGCAGGTGGGGGTCCGAGGAGGCAGCCGTGCAGGGGGTGGAGGCATCGTGCTGCAGCAAGGCGCTGTGGTGCGCTTCTACTCTGATGAGATGGGAAATCATGGAGGGGGTTTGAGCAGAGAACTGATCAAATTCATAATCTGGGTGATTTTATGGGAGGGTGCGGAGACTAGTGGGAGTGAGCCAGGAGGCTAAAGTGTGATCCAGGTGTGAGACAGAAGGGGACGCGGCAGGTCGGGAAGTGCCTTCAGCTGGGTGCGTGGTGAAGGCAGAGCTGCCGTGGGGAAGCAGCGCTCCCAGCTTCGGTCTGCGCACAGGAGGCGCTGCTGCCCACCGCAGGACTGCACAGCGGGGTCGCTGGAGAAGCGAGGTGGGCCCTCTCATTGCTGACTCCAGAGGCCCTCACAGATGCCGGGCGCTCAGGATTCCCCGCGTGCAGGACTGTAATGCACTGCTTCTCTGCAACAGGCGTTCTGTCACAGCAGCACAGACGAGGACCTGTTCCGCACGGGGCCCTCAGTCCAGCCAGCTTCCCAAGACACAGCACACTGAATACTCACTGTGATTGTTTTAATTTAAAAGTCAGCTCAGAGTCCGTGGCACTGAACTGACAGAGTGGAGAGCGGCGTGAGGCCGAGCGGCACACCGTGCTGCCGCGTGGCGGCTGTCAAGGAGGGCAGAGGCGCTACAGAGCCGTCCACGCCACCCCACACGGCCTCCCTTTCTTCAAAAGCCCCTACTGAAAGGAGGCAACCGAGGCACCGACATCCACGGACTGGCCTGAGGTCAGCCTGCGGGGCCACACGCCCAGAAAGGCCCGAGGGGCCACGCGAGAGGCCCCGGGTTCATTTCTGTGGCTGCCGCCCAGCAGGAGAAAGCCATTGTCTTCAAGTGCCCACTGAGACCTCGCTTGGGGACAGAGGGCAGGAAGCAGGCCGGATCAGACGCCCAGGAGTCAGGACCCACCTGCAGCCCCCACGCCCAACATGCCGCCCTCACTACACAGCCCAGCCCTCCTCGCGCAGGACGAGCTGCACAGCCTCGTTCACATCCTTCACAGTATGGGAGGCCTCCATCAGGCTGGGACTGAAGCCGAAGTCACGGTGCCCGTGGAAAGGGGGCTCGCCGCCTCCCGGGCCCGGCCCTGTGGATGCTGCGTCCCCGGGACTGTACACGCCGGTGCACACTAGGATGGAGGTGCAGCTCTGGGTGGCTGAGGGCTGCTGCTTCCGCAGGCCGCCGGCCCCTTGCGCCTCTGCCCCACCACGCTTCGCTCTCTGCAGGTACTGGTGAAACAGGTTGGCACCGTAGACATCAGACATAGGGTTGTCACTGGCGGCACAGCCACACCGGCAAAGGAAAGAGGAGAAAAACTAAGTTCAGTGGCAAAGGCAAAGGCAGCAGAGAACACTTTGGAGGTGTGTGACTCAGATACAGGGAAAGAAGGGGAGGAGAGAAGCTGGGGAGGCCGGGGAGCGGAAGGGTGGGGGGTGAAGGAGTCAGAGCGAGGCTCACCCTACAGCATAGAGCTTCCGGATGGGGGCAGCCCAGCCCCGCCGCACCGCCTGCTGCCTGATCAGCTCCTCCGCGTACTGGTAGGTGAGGATGCTGGGTTTGCCCATCAGGCCCTCGTATCTCAGCTCTCTGCCAGTCACCTTCTGGTAAATGGCTTCCAGGCACAGCAGGAAGGTGCCGTGGCCAAACCTGCCAGAGAGCACAGCACCTCAGTGCCCACCTCCTGGCTCCCCCAGGCCACCTGTGTTCTCTAAGCACCACCTACGTATACCAGCCTTTTGCTCCAGGACCCCGGTGGTGATGGATCAAAGTGAAACCCCTTCTTACGGAGCTCTGTGCTAGCACTGGACACCATGTATCCCATTTAACCCCCAGAGAAACCCTATGCGATAGAAACTGTCACCCCGATTTTGCAAATGAAGAAGCTGAGGCACAGCAAGATTAAGTAATTTGCCCAATGTGGTAGAGCTCGGATGAGAGCCCAGGCGGTCTGGCTCTAGAAGGCCGAGCTAAAACCTGCTTTAGGTTCGCGAAGACCACTAGCTGCCCTCCTCGTCATCTTTGTTAGAGCCAGTGTGAGTACTGCCAGGAGGTATAAAAGAGCACCGGGGGGGGGGGGGCTGGGGCTATGGCACAGTGGGTAAAGCCACCGCCTGCAGTGCCGGCAGCCATACGGGCGCCAGTTCTAGTCCTGGCTGCTCCACTTCTGATCCAGCTCTCTGCTATGGCCTGGAAAAGCGGTAGGAGATGGTCCAAGTCCTTGGGCCCCTGCACCTGCATGGGAGTCCTGGAAGAAGCTACTGGCTCCTGATGGGCCCAGCTCCAGCAGTTGTGGCCATGTGGGGAGTGAACCAGTGGATGGAAGACCTTCCCCTCACTCTCTCTCTCTCTCTCTGCTTCTCTGCAACTCTGCCTTTCAAATAAATAAATAAATCTTTTTAAAAAATTTTTAAAAAAGAGCACCTGTCCCTGCAACCAGGAGCAGCCAAGTGACTCACCTACAACCCGACAGTGGAGAGTCAAGAGCTGGGCTACACTGTCAGTTGTTAGCCTTGGAGCTGGGGAGCAGATGCTGCTCCGTCCTCCCCGAAGCCTTCCTGTCACCTGGAAGGCTGTCGTGACAGCAGCATGAAGCCGTCCTGAGTTATGCAGTGAAGGGCTAGGGATCTCACAGAAGGAAGACAGAGGCGACTGCATCTCTAATGAGACGGAGCCCGCATCCAAGGTCTGGACTGCCAGCCTCAGAATTCTTTACCTGAAAACCCTCCATCTTATTTAAGACACCTTTAAAAAGTTATTTATCTGAAAGGCAAAGAGACAGAAAGACAGAGATCTTCCATCTGTTGATGAACTCTGCAAATGCCTACAACAGACAGGGCTGGGCCAGGCTGAAGGCAGAGCTAGGTACTCAGTCCAGCTCCCTCACGTGGGTGGCAGGGACCTGACTACTTGAGCCATCACCTGCTGCCTCCCAGAATGCGCGTTAGCAGGATGCTGGAATTGGGAACCAACATCTGCATGGAGGCACTACAATACAGGATGCAGGTGTCCCAACTGCCATGCCAAACACTGCCCCTCTAGGACACTTCTGCTTGGGCATCGTTTTTAAAAATTTATTTACTTGAAAGACAGAGTTACACAGAGAGGGGTAGAGACAGAGAGAAAGGTCTTCCAACTGCTGGTTCACTCCCCAGATGGCCGCAACGGTTGGAGCTGCGCCGATCCAAAGCCAGGAGCCAGGAGCCAGGAGCCAGGAGCCAGGAGCCAGGAGCTTCTTCTGGGTCTCCCACACGGGTGCAGGGGCCCAAGGACTTGGGCCATCTTCTACTGCTATCCCAGGCCATAACAGAGAGCTGGATCAGAAGAGGAGCAGCTGGGACTCGAACCAGCGCCCATATGGGATGCCGGCACTTCAGGCCAGGGCTTTAACCTGCTGCGCCACACCACCAGCCCCTTGTTTGGGCATTTCAACCCTTGCTGCTAACCCAGATCCTAACTGGTAATGTCTTTTAGTCCAGTTTCAGAATCATTTTACTTACATAAAGAATTTCGTTTTTAATTTTTTAAGTGAAAAGTTTATCTCAAATCTGGTTTACAAACTGAAATGTGCCCCTGGATACTCAGTTCACAGTTGCATACCCAAATCCTGCCTCACCTAGGGTCAGCACATCCTAACTCCAGGAATAATACTTTGGGGAAAACACCAAACCTACAGGAATGCACTTTAAAAGTGACCACAGGGCAGGCATTTGGCCAACAGTTAAGACGTCACTTGGGAGACCTACATGCCACATTAGAGTGCCTGGTTTCAAGTCCTCACTCCACCCTTCACTCCAGCTTCCCGCCAATGCAGACCCCGGAAGGCAGTGAGGATGGCTCAAGTACCTGGGTCCCTGCCACCCAAGTGGGAAACCTAGATTAAAGTCCCAGCTATTATGGACACAGCAGACCAGAGACCTCTGTACACCTCTGTGTCTTGGCCTTTCCAATAAATAAACAAGTAAATGACGCCGACCAGAAAGGGCTGGGCATTGTGGCACAGAGAGTGCCTAATTTAAGTCCTGGCCGCCCTGCTTCAGATCCAGCTTCCCGCTAACACATACCCTGCGAGGCAGCAGATGATAGCTTAAGTACTTGGGCCCCTGCCATCCATGTGGAAGACCTGGATGGAGTTCCTAGCACCTGGCTTCGGCCTGGCCCAGCCCCAGCTGTTGCAGGCACTGGGGGAGTGAACCAGCAGATGGATCTCTCTGCCTCTCCTCTTCCTCACTCTTTAAAATAAAGAAACAAATCTGAGGCACCCAGGGCCTCCCCAGGTGGGCTTCGTCAGAATGGGGGTGGGAAAGCACCTGCAGGACTGCTCAGGCAACAGCTAGAAGCAAGCCTCCATGGCCAAGGCCGAGACTGGCTCCTCACCTAGGCATCCTGGCTTCCGCCATCCAGAGGAGGTCCATGTTGCTGGCCAGGACGGGGAGGTGGGGGTAGGGGGCCGTGGCCAGGCCAGTCCCGGGGTTCCCGTTGCTGAGGAGGACATCCATGATCAGCTGCAGGCTCGTCTCCCAGCGCACTGGCTCCCCAAGGAGAAGCACCCCTTTGAAGAGCAGAGGCACGGGGATGAGGGTGCAGGGTGTGCAGCCTGCCTTTGAGGGGGCAGGCAGGCAGTCCTCAGGCCAGCAGGTGCTACCCACACAAAGTAAGCCCACCAGGGCAAGGTATGGCTCCCTGTGCCAGCCTGGGCACAGCCACTCACCCATCTGCCCCGGGTGAACAAAGCCCAGGGCCCAGGAAGCAGCTTCCTAAGGGCTCCCATGGGACACGTGAGCACCAGCACTTCTCAGAACAGGGTAAAAGAACAGCAGCAGGGGCTGGTGTTGTGGCCTAGCAGGTAATACTGCAGCCAGTGATGCCTGTACCCCATATGGGTGCTGGTTTGAGTCCCAGCTGCTCCACCCCTGATCCAGCTCCCTGCTAATGGCCTGGGTAAAGAAGCAGAAGGTGGCACAAATGTTTGGCCCCTACCACCCATGTGGGAGACCTGGATGGAGTTCCTGGCTCCTGGCTTTGGCTTGGTCCAGTGCTGGCCATTGTGGCCATCTGGGAAGTGAACCAACAGATCTCTCTCTTTCTGTGTGCATGTGTGTGTGTGTTTGTAACTCTGACTTGCAAATATGTAACATGATATCAAGACAAAGGATGCACCCAAGGATCGAGCAACAGGTCTCAGCCTGCTTCCTCCTGCCTCTGCCTACTACACCTAGCTCTGTTTGTCTTCAGCATGGCCTCCCTTTCCCCAAATCATTCTCTCTGTGCCCCAGTGGCCAGTAAAACCTAATGGCCAGAGAGGGAGCCTGGGAATGACATGATAAGAGCCCTGAATTGCAACCCTGGCACTGCCAATGATCTATCTATCTTACCTTCTCCAAGCCCACTACGCTGCCATTGTGATGGTGAAGATGGGATACAACAAACACTAAACCTAACACTGGTATATGGCAAGACTTGACAAATGGAAGTCGCCAACATTAGCTCCCAAACCAGTGGCTCTCAGCAGAGCAGGCCTGCATCCAGGAGGTGTTTTAGACATGGTGGGATGGCCCTTAATTGTCACCACACAACTAGCAGTGAGGGCTATGGGAGGGGGCCAGGGTACCAAATGTTCAGCGGACTCAATGACAGTCCCACATCTCAATAACATAGGAATATCCCCTCGATATACATATAGGGGAATAGCCTGTTTACGTAATTACTTGAGCCAATTCCATTTTACATGTGGGGTTTTTTGGGTATAGTTTGGATAAATACTGATTTAAAAAAAAAAAGATTTATTTATTTATTTGAAAGGCAGAGTTACAGACAGGCAGAGGCAGAAAGAGTCTTCCATCCACTGGTTCACTTCCCAGATGGCCACAATGGCTGGAGCTGCGCCAATCCAAAGCCAAGAGCCAGGAGCCTCTTCTAGGTCTCCCACATGGGTGCAGGAGGCCAAGGACTTGGGCCGTCTTCCACTGCCTTCCCAGGCGCATGAGCGGGGAGCTGGATGGGAAGTAGAGCAGCCAGGACTGGAACCGATGCCCATAAGGGGTGCTGGCATTGCAGGCCATGGTTTCAGCTACCACACCGCGGTGCTGGCCCCAATAAATACTGATCTTTCCAAAAATACAATTATCATGTAAGTCAAGAAAAGATTATAATTTGTTTTCTTAAAATTCACCAAGAATAGGGTTGGTGTGGCACAGCAGCTGGTCAAGACCCTACTTGTGACATTCGAGTCCCATATCAGAGCACCAGTTTGAGTACTGGCTGTTCTACTTCCCATCCAGCTCCCTGCTCATGCGCCTGGGAAACCAGCGGAAGACGGCCCAAGCACTTAGGCGCTGTTATTACATGAGAGACCTGGATGAAATTCTGGGCTCCTGGCTTCTTCCTGGCCCAGCCCTGGCTGGCTGTTCAAGTGTTCTGGGGAGTGAACCAGCAGACAGAAGACATCTCTCTCCCTCTTTCTCTGTTCTCTGCCTTTCAAATATATATTTAATTTTCCGAGTTTTTCTCTATTTTGGAAAATCAGTTCACTAGTTGCACCACTGCCTAATTTCTGAGTCACCCATGACACATCCGAGCACCACTAGAGACGCTTGTATCAATGTGCAGCTGTTGCTGCAACAGTCACAGTGATGTCATTTTCAGTGCAATCATTTTGCTTCCTAGCTAATTATTACATATTGAAATGTATCACAATCTGACTATAAGTTTTCCTTTTTATTTCCTCCAGTATACTGGCTTTATACTGAGTTAACTCATTTGTCATGTATGTGTACAGGAAAGTTATATTATCTATGAACTTCATTTCAGGGTAGTGAAGGGAATATTACAGTATCTTTGTTACACAGAGGAGATTTGGTTGAATAGAGCTGAGAAACACTGGAACAGGCTACCTGTAGGTACTTTTCCACCTGAAGTTCCCCAAGCTTATGATTTTTCTGGAATAAGGTGAACATCACAAAGAAGGACAATTCACAGCAAATGTCTCAGAGGTAATGAGTGGCAGATTCAGGGCCAAAACCCAGTGCCCTGATGCCCACTGCCCCCTTGCCCCAACCAGGAAAGGGCCTCCTTTACCTTCAATGGCTGGGAAGTCATTCCTCAGCAGGGGCTGCCAAGACACAAAAAAGAGGCCATCAGGACAGCAGCCACCTTCCCTACCCAACAGCTGCACTCCAGGGGTTTGGGGCACATTGCACACAAAGCAGAAACCAGCCCCATGGTCTAACCCAAGCCCAGGGCAAGCTGGATAGGATCAAACAAGAGATGCACAAAGAAAGGGGAAAAGTTCACAAGCAGGCTGGCCACACGGCAGGTGCAGGATACCACACATGAAGGTGAGTGGAGGAAGGGCTGTCCTTCTCTACCCAGACAGATGCAAGACGCGGGCCAAGCAAGAGTGTGCCAGCACCAGGGAGCTAAGGTTGAAGCTGGGCCTACAGAGAAAAGGGGGCCATCAGGGCCTGATGCACCCCCTGTCCCGATGTCCCTGCAGGAGGCAGGGCCTTCACTTAGCCAGCCTCTTGGGGCCCACCGCTGCCCTGGTCACTGCAGCCTTCGTCCTGCCTCTCACCAGCCATGAGACTAGGGCTATGCTAGTCAGAACAGACTATGAGATCTGTTCTTTGACATTCTAGTACAAGGAGAAAGCTCTCACAGGACAAGAAGTACTCCATCCAAACTGAGAATTCTGGAGGAAAAAGGAACTGAGCTATGGAAATTAAAAAAAAAAAAATAATAAGCTAAGTGCTTTCAATGCATTTCATCCAGTGTTGAGGGTGGTCTGACTGAAAACATAGGCCATGTGACACACCCACGAGGAAGGAGTCAGCCGAGGGCACCTGAACAGACAGGCAGCTGGAGTGGGCATTTGGTACAGTGGTTAAGATGCCACTTGAGATACCCACGTCCCATATCAGAGTGCCTGGACTCAAGTCTTGGGTCTGCTTTCTGCAAATGCATACACTGGGAGGCAGCAGATGATGGCTCAAGTACTTGGGTTCCTGCACTCATTTGGTTGTTACGCTTGTTGTTCGGCATTTGTGGAGATATTCTTTGGTTTCTTCTTCTTTTTTATTTTTTTCCTGCTGTGGCGGCTTTTCTCGTTATACTATGACTCTAGATGAGTGGACTGTTTGCTTTCAGTGAATCTCTAAAGGCTTGTGGTGGGTGTGGCCACAGAGCTCGGTTCAGTTCTTCAGGGTTAAGGGTGTGTCTAAAGTGACACACCCAGGTTTGGCATGGTAAATCTCTCTTTTTTTAATCAGAAGGGAAGTAATTCCCCTCAGCTGAGCTCTTCTCAATGGCAATCAGTACCTGAGTGCCAGCCCCAGTGGGTGTAATATTCGTCTGCTCTGTCCAAGGACCACACAAAGGATCTGTGCAGTCCTCAGTGGAAGCTCCGATTCCTCTGCAATGTCTCTCACCAGGTAGCCAGGGCTGCCTGAGCCAGATTCCCCTGCAGTTTCTCTCACCGGGTAGCCAAGGCCGACTGAGTTTGTGGCGTTTCCCAACAAGACTACTCCTAATCCTCTGCCTTCGCCTAGCGGCACCGGCACACCGGGTTCTAGTCCCGGTTGGGGTGCCGGATTCTGTCCCGGTTGCCCCTCTTCCAGGCCAGCTCTCTGCTGTGGCCAGGGAGTGCAGTGGAGGATGGCCCAAGTGCTTGGGCCCTGCACCCCATGGGAGACCAGGAGAAGCACCTGGCTCCTGCCGTCGGATCAGCGTGGTGCACTGGCCGCAGCGTGCCGGCCACGGCGGCCATTGGAGGGTGAACCAACGGCAAAAAGGAAGACCTTTCTCTCTCTCTCTCTTTGTCTCACTATCCACTCTGCCTGTCAAAAAATTACAAAAAAAAAAAAAAAAAAAGACTACTCATGTCTCAACCACACCATGAGTTCTCCCACACACCCTCATTTTTTTTTTCCTCAGTCCCAGTTCATAAGCTCCACACATTGACTAGGTCTTAGTCTCCTGTTATTACTCCCCACCAGAGTCAGGTTTTTCTGCTTGGCTGATTGCCGGGCACAGCCCCGAGCTGGTGCAGCTGTTACGTACGTCCAAAATGGTGCCTACTCTATCGGCTCGTACACCTTTGTTGAGTGGAGAGAGAGAATCACGTCCGTACCGTCCCTCTTATTTTTTCTCTCCTCTAGTTAGGCTGGTGTACTTTCCCACAGGGGCTTCAAGCCTCGTTCCCTCTAGGTTCTTCCTGACGCTTTTCTGCCAGTGTCTTGGGCTACTGTGGTTTCGTCTCACCTCTCTTTCCAGTGCTGGTGTGGAGGCTCTCAGCAACTGGGATCCCAAGTCGTGGGCGACCGTGCTCTCCACGTAGGCCCACTGTGTCCCTCTAATTACGGAAGAGTTTCCTCTGCCGCTTTCCCCCTAACTCTTCCCTGAGACTACACTATCTCCACTTTTATTAAACTATCTTTTCCTGGACCATCAGTAAGATCTCTCCCTATTCCACCATCTTGGAGCCCCCTCTCCTCCTGCACTCATTTGGGAGACCTGGCCTAGCCTAGCCCTGGTTGGTGGGGGCATCTGAGGAGTGAACCAGTGGATGGAGGATCTCTTTCTGTCTGTCTCTCTCTGTTTCTACCTTTAAAATAGAAAGAAAATAATTAATTTTTAAAAAATGGGCAGTCACACTCTTGAGGAACACTGAGGCCCTGGAACTGCTATTTAGAATAGGTAAGACAAGCCAGTGGGGCTGGCACTGAGGCTTAATGGGTAAAGCCATCGCCTATGGTGCCAGCATTCCATAGACAATGGTTGAAGTCCCAGCTATTCCATTTCCAATCCAACTCCCTGCTAGTACACCTGGGAAAAGCAGCGGCACAAGGCCCAAGTACCCATGTGGAAGACTAGGAAGAAGGTCCTGGTTCCTGGCTTTGGCCTGGCAAAGCCCTGGCTATTGAGGAAATTTGGGGAGTGAACCAGTAGATGGAAGATCTCTCTCTCTCTCTGTAACTCTGCCTTTCAAATAAAAAATAAACATTAAAAAAAAAAAAAAAAGGATGATTGAAATGAATGAAAACCAAGCCAGTGATTTGAATATGAGCACAAAAAGTCCAAGGGCAGGTACACAGAAGTGCTGGTTAGAAGCACGTTGCTTCTAACAAGGGCAACTTCATGCCCCATGCTTCAGGATAAAGGAGGAATGGTGGCTAATTTAACAAAGGCTGATTCTCCCAATCAACACTGGGCAAGTGAGGTGGTAAAAAGCGCAGCTACCAGCTGGAGAGGCCGCTGGGGCTGTGAAAGGGGCCTCCAGCTATGTGTAAACACTGCAGAAAGGAACAGATGGGACCAGTTGCCTCTCTGGCTCATTTTTGTTTAGTTAGTTATTTTTATTTTATTTGAAAGAGATAGAAACAAATGAACAAAGATCTTCCATCTTACTCACTGGTTCATACCCAAATGCCCACAAAAGCTAGGCTAGGCCAGAGCCAGGAGCACAGAACTCAATTCATCTCTCCTAGGTGGGTGGCAACAAACCAACTACTTGAGCCATCACTGCTGTCTCCCATGGTGAGCAATAGCAGGAAGCTGGAACAGAAGTGGAGCCAGGACTCAGACCCAGGCACTCTAACATGGGATGCAGGCGTCCCAGGAGGCATCTTAACTGTAGTGCCAAATGATGCCCCCCCTGGGTTACTCTCACACAGCCAGGGAAGACCACTGGCCAGGGGAGCCTTTCCCAGAGGACAATGCCGCTGAGGCAGGGACAAAATACAGCAGGAGGGGCAGCGAGTCAGCAAGTGGAGCCAGCGCAGGGAGTAGGACAGAACAGAACATGGAGACCCTGGGAGCAACGCAGAGGGCGGCAGGGCCTGACGTGTACTCCTCACCGTGGTCTTCGGCCGCCGCTCAAGGTCCACCATGTCAAGTACGGGGAAGGCCATCCGCAGCTCATCTACAGTGACCACGTTCCGGAAGCCCAGTCTGCAGCAAGGTAAGGGAAGCAACGCCAGGCGGTTCTGAGGGAGGAGGCCTTCCTGAGTGCATCGGGTCAGTGCAGGCAACAGGGTCTGGCAGGAGCCCAGCAAGAAGGAGGTGGATCTTACAATGCAGGCAACTGGCCAAGACGGCACAGAGAAGAGACAGCAGTTCCAAGGCAGCCAGCAGCAGCCTCTGGGTACTGGGGTGCAAACACCTGTCCATCTCAGTGCTCCAGGGGCTTGCAACACTGCCTTTGAATGCTGCCTTCAGAACATGAGTCCAGCAGAGTCACTGGGAGCTTAGGATGGAGCTAAAACCCAGAAGGATGGACTCCTTCAGCAAATTCCTCTCAACATGATGATTCCACCACCAGGGCAGCCTGTAAGGCCTCCCTGCTGCTCAGAGAAGCCCACACTCCCGGAGTTCACTGCAGATGCACCCCACCCCATACCACACCTCTCCATCTTTTATTCCCCACCCTCCTAAGTCCCTCAGGGGGCTGCAGAGTCAGAGTTCCTGCCCCAGGGATACACCCTCACCACCTGTGACTTCCATTAGACCATTGCAGAATTCCTTTACTGCTCATGGGGGTGTTACCTGCCCCCTCAAGCAGGAACCCCTTCATAAGTCACAGTCCCTACTCCCTTGTCCTGGCCCCTGCTCCCAGAAGCACAGAGCACAGCCCCCAGGGAGTTCTCAGCTGCTTGCCTGCAAGACCCGAACTGCTTCCTGAGTGTGCACCCCCAGCCCACTCCCAGCAGCAGAAGGACCAGTTTGGTGAAGCAGCTGAGCACTGCAAGGATGAGGGACAGAGCAGCGATCCCCAAACCTAGTTACAGAATGAGTTCTAGAACCTGGCTGTTTTATGAACAGATTCCGGAGTTTCCCCCAGACCTGATGAAGTCAAGAGTCTCCAGGTGTTAGACTCAGGAATCTCTGTTCTAAGCTCTCCAGGAGATTGAGGCAAGGCAAGTGGCTGGCTCCTGGAAAGCCCTCCTGAGGGCGCACCACACAGCCCAGGTACCCCGGCACTCTGTGTCCCAACATCCTCACTACCGTCTCCACCCAGTCAAGGAAGGCAGGCCCAGTCCCGCCCCGTCCTCTTCAGCCAGAGCCCGAAGACCAAAAGGATACGCTCGGGCATTTTCCACCAGTGGTCCCTGCCCAGACACCAGCATCCGCTTGTCGTGGTACTGGGTGAAGAGCTTCATGGGGCTGTGGGAGAGAATGACTTGGTCTGGATCCACCTGCAGGGAGAGGCGAGCAGAGGTACATGCAGGGTGAGATAAATAAAGGTTCTTTCACCCGAGGCAGCAAACCACTCGCCACCGCCAAAGCTTATCCACGCAGGTGTGAGGTGAACCTGTCCGATTTGGTTCTTGCTTCCCAAAGTGGGAAAACAGAAACACTACCCAAGGTAAGTTCTGAGTACCCACCAACCCTGTGGGGCTCGGCCAATGTCCCCTTCTGGAGTTCTCAACCCCAGAGTTGGAAACTCTAGGCTCTGCATGTTCTCCGTCACTTTCATAGAAATCTGCCTTTGCCTTTTTGCTTTCAACTCTACTAAAAAGACTTAGCTTTTCAACATTTCTATCAACCCCAGCAGTGCAGCCCTCACTCAGAAGGTCTTGGAAGCCCTCTCTGGACACCCAGCTGGGACGCCATTTTATTCCTTTACCCTCTGCATTGGGCCCCAAGCCACATGCCCCAGACAGGCAGTTGATTTACTCAGTGGTTCCAAAGAGCTCTTTTCACCCTGAACAAGAACGTGCCAGTGCTGGGACGCAGGATGGAGCTGCAGCTGGGTGAAGAGGGACTGCTTTGGGAGGACACAGCTCCCTCATAGAGGCGCACACATCCTGTTTGTGAGAACAAGGGCTGGGGCGAGCACCTGGTACAATGGTTAAGATGTCCCTTGAGGCGCTCAGCCCTCCGCCCCTCTGCTGAGCCACCTGCCTGGCCTGCTCAGGTGTATTCTCTCCATCCAACCATGTAACCTCGCTCTCCTCCATCTGAGCAACTGGGCACTCTCTCTCAGGTCCTGTCTGGAGAGGTGCCCATCCATTCTTAGTGATGTCCCTACACTAATAAACCTTGCTATTTTGCTTTCCACTTAAAAAAAAAAAATGTCCCTCAGACACTACATCCCACAGCAGAGTGCCTGGTTCGAGTGCCAGCCCCTCCCCTTCCAATCCAGCTTCCTAAAAATGCACACACACTCCAGGAAATAGGTGAAGCCTCAAGTACTTGGGCCCCTGCCACCCACATGAGAGACTTGGGCTGAGATCTGGGCTCCTAGCTTTGGCCTGGCCTAGCCCTGGCTGTTGCAGGCATTAGGGGAGTGAATCAGCAGATGGAAAATCTCTGTCTCTCTGCCTTTCAAATAAAATGAAAAATAATGTTTTAAGGAACTTTAAAAAAAAAAACACACAAAAAACAAAAACAAAACAGGGCTATTACTTCAGTTTCCTACCTGGTAAGCAGAGTTCTAGACAAATGGGTCCCTTGCTTTCCAGGGGCTAGCAATCCACAAAAGAGCCCCTGATTCCCAGAAGAAACGAGATGGTCACAAAGACAGTTAACTAAAACTACCAAATACACGGACAGGATGTTGTGGCCACTTGTCCACATGCATGCGCTGCATGAGGGCCGTTCAGGCACCAACAGACCACGCATGCGATGGTGGAACCATAACCTTTGGCACCAAGTGACATCACAGCCATCCTAGTTTGTGTAAGCATACTCTAAGATGTTCATACAATGACAAGCTGCCTGACGATCTATCTGTCAGTACATAACCCTGTCATCAAATGACACACGACTGTATGAGTGAATATAAAGGAAAAAAAAAGACCCTAATTATGGGGTCCTACTCATGAGGCAGACTTGAACTTTCAAGTTACTTCTCCTGCAGGGTTCAAAGATTTCCACTGACTCAACTGGCCATGACATCAGGCTTACGAAGAGCAGGCCATGTGTCCAGGGAAAGGGGCACGGACAGGAGCAGGGCTTTCTTTAGGAACCACGCCACAGGACGCCTCCTCACCTTGCATCCCAGCAGGGCTGACAGCTCCTGGGCTTTGCCATGTTGCAGGATGTTCCCAGCGTTTGTGACAAAAACCACAGGCACTCGCAACTGTCCCTGCGGGCTGCAGAGCGTGTGGAAGGCTTCCAGAGCAGCAGGGATCACACGGTGGCCTCGCACCAGCACTCCATCAATGTCCAACAGGAACCCAAATGTGGGCGGGCTCTGCAGGGGGCAGGAGAAGAGAATTACACTTCAGGGGGCAGGAGGTTGACAGGGAAAGAAAAAAGAAAGGACCAGCACAGGGAGAGGTTCAACATCATCCTCAGGGAGCCGACACTGTGGCTCAGTGGGCTGAGCCACCGCCTGCAACACTGGCATCCATTATAAGCACCAATTGCAGTCCTGACTGCCCCATTTCCCTTCCAGCTCCTCAATAACGTGCCTGGAAAAGCTGAAGACAGTCCAAGTCCTTGGACTCCTGCCACCCACTTGGGAGACTTGGATGCAGCTCTTGGCTCCTGGCTTCAGCCTGGCCCAGCCTTGACCATTGCAGGTATTTGGGGAATGAACCAGTGGATGGAAGATCTCTCTCTCTCTCTCTCGCATTCGCTCTCTCACTGTAACTCTGCCTTTCAAATAAATGAAAATTTTTTAAAGATTTCATTTATTTATTTGAAAGACAGAATTACAAAGAGAGAGACAGAGAGGGAGGGAAGGAGAGAGGGAAGGGAGGGAGGGAGGGAGGGAGGGAGGGAGGGAGGGAGAGGGAGACAGAACTTCCACCTGCTGCTTCACTCCCCAAATGGCCTCAATGACCAGGGCTGGGCCAGGCCAAAGCCATGAGCCAGGGGCTTCATCCAAGTTTCCCACATGGGTGCAGAGGTCCAAGCACTTGGGCCATCCTCTGCTGCTTTCCCAGGTACATTAGCAGGGAGCTGGATCAGAAGCGGAGCAACTGGAACTTGAACCTGCGCCTATATGGGATGTTAGTGTCACAGGCAGGGGCTTTACCTGCTAACACCATCCTCAAGTCCCTAGTACCTTTGAAAAACTGTTAGGGAGAACAACAACAGCAAAATGCATGGGATTTTTTTTTCTTCTTTCATTTTTTTATTTTTGAATTTATTTATTTGAGAGGCAAACAGACAGGCAGAAAGAGCGCCCCATCCGCTGGTTCACTCTGCAAAAGCCCACAACAGCAGGCCTGGACTGATTACCTATTTTGGCTTGGGGCCTGCAGTAGCAGGAAGCTGGAATCAGGAGCTGGAGCTCTGAATCAAACTCAGTTACCTCCATGTGGGACACAGGCATCTTAACTCTAGCTGAACACCCACTGCAGCCTGGAATTTCTGAAGGGCAAATCCACCTGTAACAAACAACTGTTCCTTTCTTGTTTTTCGAGCATGTAACTATTTTGTTCAAATTATTTTTGCATAATTAATATAATTAAATAGGAAAATAGAGAAATTCAAATATGATCCCAAAACTTTAACACATTCAATTCATATTTTCCTTCTTTTTTTTATCTTACTGTTTGTGTTGTAGCTACAACTGTAATTTATGCAATATTGTATCTTTTTTGTATCTTCATTTGACATGTCATAAACATTTTGACTTGTTACAACAATCTTCATGACCATCTTTTTAAAAAGATTTATTTATCTATTTGTTTATTTATTTATTTATTGAAAGGCAGAGGGTCAGAGGTGGTGTCATGATGTCAGAAGTTAAGCAGTCACCTGTGACAACGGCACCTCATATAAGCAGTAGTTCAAGTCCCAGCTGCTCCATCTCTGATCCAGCTCCCTGCTAATGTGCCTAGGAAAGCAACAGAAGATGGCCAGAGTGCTTGGAGCCCTGGACCCATGTGGAAAACCAACAGAGTTCCAGTTTCCTGGCTTCAGCAAGCCCAGCCCCAGCTGCTGTGGCCACATGGGGAGTGAATCGCGGATGGAAGATATTGCTCGCTCTCTTCCCCCACTCTGTAACTCTCAATAAATCTTAAAAAAAAAAAAAAAAGGGTGGGGGGTGTGACAGATGGAGAGATAGAGACATCTTTAATCCTCTGGTTCACTTCCCAAATGGAGCCATCTTCTGCTGCTTTTCCCAGGCCATTAGCAAGAAGCTGGATCAGAAGTAGAGCAGCCGGGACCCAAACTGGTGCCCACCACTGCACATGGTGGTTTAACCTGCTCAGTCACAGCACCGGCCCCACTCCACCTAGTCTTATTCCCTCTCTTGTATATTTCCCAAAAAGTTCCATGGATATGAGTATAGTATATATTTAGCATATACTTTTTAAAATCTTTCTCAGATGGAATCATGTTGCACTTGGTTTTCCATTCTGTTTTTGATTGGTATCAATCGGCCATCCAAATCAATACACACAGCCTCACCTCCAAAACATCATTTTCTACATAATGTTCCAAGTAATTCACTATGTTTCCCTATTTAGGACACTTAGGTTATTTTGGACATTTTTGTTATGACAAATAATGCTATAAGGAATCTCTTCATGATCCTGATTTTCTCCCATATTATGGATATTTCCTTAGGCTACATTCTTAAAAGTAGGGTAATAAGTTAAAGAGGATGAATGTTGCAATTATATAATACCTACTGACAAACTGTTCTCCAAAAGCATATTTCAACTACATGGCCACTGGTAACACTTTACCCTTATATTGATTTTCAGGGGCAACCGCTGGGGTGCAGCAGGTTAAGCCGCTGCTCAGGATGGCCCCATCCCATGCTGGATTCCTGCTAATGTCCCTGGCAGGCAGGGGAAGATGGCCTAGGTACCTGGGTCCTCTCACGCACGTGGGAGCCCCACACAGGGTTCCTGGCTCCTGGCTTCAGCCTTGCCCAGCCCTAGCTGTTGTGAGCATTTTGGGAGTAAACCAATAGATATAAGATCTCTCCTTCTGTCTCTCTCTTTCCCTCTGACTCTGCTTCTCAAATAAATAAATTTTTAAAAAATACTTATTTTCAGGCCGGCGCTGCGGCTCACTAGGCTAATCCTCCGCCTGTGGCGCCGGCACACCTGGTTCTAGTCCCGGTTGGGGCGCCGGATTCTGTCCCAGTTGCCCCTCTTCCAGGCCAGCTCTCTGCTGTGGCCCTGGAGTGCAGTGGAGGATGGCCCAAGTGCTTGGGCCCTGCACCCGCATGGGAGACCAGGAGAATCACCTGGCTCCTGGCTTCGGATCAGCGCGGTACGCCAGCCGCAGTGCACTGGCCACAGCAGCCACTGGAGGGTGAACCAGCAGTAAAAGGAAGACCTTTCTGTCTCTCTCTCTCTCTCTCACTGTCCACTCTGCCTGTCAAAAAAAACAAAAAACACAAAACACATTCCATCATGCTTTTTAAGTGAAAGTGCCTAGAGAAAAGGAGGCAGGAGTAGGCCTTTTCATTTTACCCTCTTGTGTGCCTGTATCCTAACTTCTCCTCTGAACATTCCTCCCCATTTCCCAATGTTTTAGCCCACCACCCCATATTGCTTGGTAGGATCTGGTTTTCACTTTTTTTAGCCAGGCAGACTGGACAGTGAGAGAGAGAGACAGAGAGAAAGGTCTTCCTTTTGCCGTTGGTTCACCCTCCAATGGCCGCCGCGGCTGGCGCGCTGCGGCCGGCGCACCGCGCTAATCCGATGGCAGGAGCCAGGAGCCAGGTGCTTTTCCTGGTCTCCCATGGGGTGCAGGGCCCAAGCACCTGGGCCATCCTCCACTGCACTCCCTGGCCACAGCAGAGGGCTGGCCTGGAAGAGGGGCAACCGGGACAGAATCCGGCACCCCGACCGGGACTAGAACCCGGTGTGCCGGCGCCGCTAGGCGGAGGATTAGCCTAGTGAGCCGCGGCGCCGGCCTCACATCTTCTTATTAAAGTTCCTTTTTGTGGCAGTGATAAAATATGTGGGGTTTTAACATTAATCTGACATAAAGGGACCAGTAATATGGCCCTTAGTGGTTTTGCTTCCTACCTAGAATTGGTTTAGAATTAAAAAAAAAAAAAATATTTACATGAGAGGCAGAGGGACAGAGTTCCTGTCTGCTGGTTCACTCCCCAAATGCCCCCAAAGGCCATGGCTGAGCCCGGCCAACGCCAGGAACTGGGAATTCAATCTACATCTCCCACATGGGTGGCAGGGACCCAATTACGTGAGCCATCACTGCTGCTTCCCAGGATCCTGCATTAGCACACAACCAGAGTCAGGAGCCAGAGCCAGGTATCAAACCCAGGTACTCTGATAGAGGATGCAGGCATCTTTAACACTAGGTTAAATGCCCATCCCAGGGTTTAGAATGTTTTCCACAGCACTAACAATCATTAAAGTACCATCCACTTTACCACCACCTACAAGTACATCCATATTTGAGAGAACATATTGTATGGCGGCCACTATATGGAACACCCTATCTCTATCACCTTATTTACTCTCACAAAAATACTGCATGGTAGTAATATTCCCCACTACTTACATGGAAAACTGAAGCTCTGGGAAATCACTGAGGTAAGTAATTTCCCCTAAGTCAAACAGGCATCTAATGGTGTCAACAGCATTCAATTCTCTCTCTCTCTCTTTTTTTTTTTTTTTTGACAGGCAGAGTAGACAGTGAGAGAGAGAGACAGAGAGAAAGGTCTTCCTTTGCCATTGGTTCACCCCACAATGGCCGCTGCGGCCAGCGCGCTGTGGCCAGTGCACCACGCTGATCCAAGGCCAGGAGCCAGGTGCTTCTCCTGCTCTCCCATGCAGGTGCAGGGACCCAAGTACTTGGGCCATGCTCCACTGCCCTCCCGGGCCACAGCAGAGAGCTGGCCTGGAAGAGGGGCAACCGTAACAGAATCCGGCGCCCCAATCGGAACTAGAACCCGGTGTGCTGGCGCTGCAGGCAGAGGATTAGTCTATTGAGCCGTGGCGCCAGCCAGCAGCAGTCTAAAGCCAGCACAGGGGCTGGCATTGTAGCAAAGGGGGTTAAGCAGACATCTGCAGGGCTGGTGCTGTGGCTTAGCGGGTATAGCTGCTGTCTATATGGACATCCTATATTGGCACTGGTTCGAGTCCCAGCTGTTTCACTTCCAATTCAGCTCCTTGCTAATGCACCTGAGAAATCAGTGGAAGAGGGCCCAAGAGCTTGAGCCCTTGTACCCGTGTTGGAGGCCCTGGAAAAAGTTCCTGGCTCCTGGCTTCAGATCTGCCCCAGCTCTGGCCATAGGGGCCACTTGGGGAATGAACCAGCAGATGGACAATCTCTCTACGTCTTCCTCTTTGTCTCTCTATAACTTTGCCTTTCAAATAAATAAATAAATATTTTAAAAATACACATACAAGCCGGCGCCGCAGCTCACTAGGCTAATCCTCCGCCTTGCGGCGCCAGCATACCAGGTTCTAGTCCCGGTCAGGGCACTGGATTCTGTCCCGGTTGCCCTTCTTCCAGGCCAGCTCTCTGCTGTGGCCAGGGAGTGCAGTGGAGGATGGCCCAAGTGCTTGGGCCCTGCACTCCATGGGAGACCAGGATAAGTACCTGGCTCCTGCCATTGGATCAGCGCGGTGCGCCGGCTGCAGCGGCCATTGGAGGGTGAACCAACGGCAAAGGAAGACCTTTCTCTCTGTCTCTCTCTCTCACTGTCCACTCTGCCTGTCAAAAAATAAAAATAAAAAAAATAAATCTTTTAAAAAATTAAAAAAAAAATACACATACATATATGTATCCCACATTGGAGTTCCTGAGTTTGAGTCCTGGCTCCACTTTCAATTCCAGCTTCTTGTTAATGTGCACCCTGGGGCCAGCACTGTAGCGCAGCATGTTAAGTTGTCACTTGTTTTTTTGTTTTTTAAATATTTATTTATTTGAAAGTCAGTTACACAGAGAGTTGAGGCAGAGAGAGAAAGAGGTCCTCCATCCGCTGGTTCACTTCCCAATTGGCCGTAACGGCTGGAGCTGCGCCGATCTGAAGTCAGGAGCCAGGAGCTTCTTCCAGGTCTCCCATATGGGTGCAGGGGCCAAGGACTTGGGTCATCTTCCACTGCTTTCGCAAGCCATAGCAGAGAGCTGGATCTGAAGTGGAGCAGCCGGGACTGGAACTGTTGGCACTTCAGGCCAGGGCGTTAACCCGCTGCACCACAGCACTGCCCTAGCCCCCTTGTTTTTAAGATTGATTTATTTTAAGCTGTCACTTGTGACACCAGCATCCCGTATCAGAGCATGGGCTCAAGCCCCAGCTGCTCTACTTCGCATACAGCTTCCTGCTAACACACCTGGGAAGGAAATGTAAGCGTCCAAGTACCTCCGCTCCTCCCACCCACATGGGAGAGCAGGGTGGAGCTCCTAGCTTCTTCTTGGGCCAGGCCTGGCCACCACAGCCATCCGGGGAGTGAACCAACCAGATGGAGGATCTCTAACCACCACTCCTCTGCCTTTCAAATAAATACCTTATTATTATTTTTTTTAAATGAGCATCCTGGGAGGAAGCAGATAACAGATCAAGTAGCTGAGTCCCTGCCTGGACCTGGAACTGGACTGAGTTCCTGGCTCGTACCTGGCTGGCATCTGTTTCAGCCCTGGCTGTTGCAGGCATCTGGGAAGTGAACTAGGAGATGGAAGATCATCTGTCCTCGGCTGTCTCTCTCTGCCTTTCAGATACAACAAATTTTTAAATACATAAAAGGATTACTGTAAAAGCGCTCCATAAATGTACAATATTACTGCTACATACAGAAACTGGATTTAGGAGGGAAAGTCTCCTTTAATGAAGTGGCAAAATGGCCCAGAGGAAGCGAGCAAGTCTACAGCTGACTAACCGCGCTTCGCTGCCGGCACAGCCCTCCGCGGGCCAGCAGTCGGACCGACTCACGCCAGGTCCCGGCATCGCCCCAAGTTGCTGAGGGACTTGGACAGCACTACAATAGCTGGCACCAATCCGGGACCCCACACTTCCCCTCCACTCCCTGCAGGAAGCGGCTGATGCTCCCTACAAACCACGTCCACGGGGCCAAAGCCACAAGCCTGCACGAAACCCCCATTCCCCTCCGGACCGTGCGCCTTCACGCGCGGCTCCTCCAATCTCTTTCAAATGCAGTTGAAAATCACAACCAGAACGTTCTCGCGGCGGAAATCGACCAGTAAGGGCAGCAATCACACCCGGACTGGAAAAACAGGAACGAGGAAACTGCTGGGAAACTTTGAAGTCGAGGGACGACTGCCGGGAGCCACTAAGCTCAGGAGTGACGTGGTTCGCGTTGGTCGACCTCCGGCTAAACAACTTTTCCTGAGCCCCGGGCGCCGAGGACTCTGCGCCACCGAGCGAGACCCAAGTGCACTTGAGGCCAGCGGTTCCAGCAAGGCCATTTCCCAAGGAGGAGAGGACGCGGGAGACGCGGGCCACGGCCCCCCCGCCCCACCGCCAGTCCTGAGTACCGGCTCTGCCGGAAGCCGGACGTTCTCACCTGAGCCGGGACCCCGGTGTAGCCCCTGGCGGGGCGATAGCCCCGGAGCCCCACAGCAGCGCAAACCGGCCGCCAGCGCAGCCCCACGGCCGCGCGCAGCAGCACCGCCCAGCCGAGCGCAGCCATCCGACCGCCCGCCGCGCTCACGCGCACACTGCGCCGGCCCCGGTGGCCCGCGGCCACTCGCAGGCGCAGCCAATCAGCGGCCAGGAGGCGCGCGCGTCCTCTTGGGACTTGTAGTCCAAGGAGCACGACGGGGCGCGCGCCCACAGCACGCGAAACCAGAGGAGCAGCCCGGCGCGCGGAGCCGGCGAAGGCGCCTGGGGCGTGGAGGCCTGTGCCCTGCGGAGCGGCTGGGCTGCGCGGCTGTGAAGCGGCGCAGGGTCCCACCACTTCGTAGACGCAGGCGGGGCCGGCAGACTGGAGTGTCCAGTTGGCACGGCTGAAGTGGACAGACACCTGTCCTCGCTCTGTGTACCTGCTGACTTCCTGGAACGGATGTGTTGGGTCGGTGGCTCTGAAGGGGGAAAAGCCATGTGAAAGGATTGACCTTGATTTCCGGGCGAAGTTGGAGAAGTGCACTCTTTAGCTTCAAGTCCTCTCGTTACCTGGGAAGGTGCTCGGTGGCTCTTCCAGCAAGAAGGAATTCAGAAGTGAGACAGAGAGTAGCAGTAAGCTTGTTAGCCAAGTTTGATGACAGAAATCCACCCGATAGACCACATGCTGAGCCCTGACGCCAACACACGCTGTGTCTCCAGATACAACGTCGGACCTCTACTCATCGTTAGACACCACAATTGGATTAGGCACCATCCTTAATCCATTAGCACAGGGGCTTTACCAGGACACTCAACCTGTTATCTAAAACGCAGAGGGCACCCGTGGACCGTGGGTGTTTATTCTGAGGGGCTAGCGGTCTGCAATCACCTGTTACTCATGGGACTTGTTCACCTTGATTTTTCAGATCAGTTTCTGCCCCAGAGGGGCTGCAGTGCTGCACTGTATTTGGAACTTACATCCGCCAAGGCGCTGGGTCTCCCTAGTCTTCCTGCCTGGGTGCAGAGGCCAGGCAGCCTCAACCCTGGGTATGCATCAGAATCAGCTGGACGGTTTTTCCAAGACTGATTGATTGATTGGTTTTTTAAAAGGCAGACTGACAAAGCAAGAGATGGAGAGAGATCTTCCATATACAGGTTCATTCCCCAAATGGCCACAATGGCCAGGGCTGGGCCAGGCCAAAGCCAGGAGCCAGGAACTCCGTGCAAGACAGGCAGCAGCTTTACCCGGTATGCCACAATGCCAGCCCTCAACACTTATCATTTCTTTGTGTTGGAAAGCTTCAGACCCCATTCCTGTGTGGATTTAAATTTTAGCAGGAAATCTGAGAATGTGATTTATTGATTTACTGGTAAAACTCCCACAGCCTCCTCCCTACTCTGGCCCTAGACTGCTGATGAGTGAGATAAGTGGCCACTTGTGCCATAGGCAGAATTCAGGTGCCCAGGTAACCTTGGGGGCCTCTCCTCCCAGGCCCCCAAATCCCTCTGGAGGCAAAGAACCATGGGTAGAACACAGAGCAAAGAGACTTGAACCAAATCACGCCAAGGTGTGAATAACTGATAGTTGCTCCTATCCTAAAGGCAATATTTACAAGCAGGCAAGAAGGAGGGAGAACAAGAGGCACCGTGAGAAAGACTGGGGCCAAGGGGCCCACATGTGGTGTCTGGATAAGCCGCCGCCCGCAGTGCCGGTATCCCTTACTGGCACCAGTTCACATCCTGGCTGCTCCATTTCTGATCTGGCTCCCTGCTAATGCTTCTGGGAAAGCAGCAGGAGATGATGGCCCAAGTGCTTGGGTGCCGGCACCCATGTGGGAGACCTGTATGAAGCTCCAGGCTCCTGGCTTCGGCCTGGCCCAGCCCCTGGCCCATTTCAGCCATTTGGGGAATGAACCATGGTTGGAAGCTCGCTCTCTCTCTCTCTCTCTCTCTCTGTCTCTCCCCCGCCCCCATGCCCTGCTTTCCTTCAAATAAGGGGAAAGAAACACCAATCCTGAATATATTGTTTAAAAAGAAAAAGAAAATGGGGAGACAGAGAGGGCCCGAGGCCTGCGATGGCAAGCTGAAGTCCGCTCAGCTTTTTCTCCCTGCTTTGCTCCCCAGACTTCTCAAGTCCACCTGCTGCCCCGTTGGAAACAGGAGGGGGCATGGCCATGTTGATTCCAGGCTGAGAGTCACCTGGTTGCCTCCCAAGCTGTCTCAGAACCCTCCCGTGGCTGTGCCCAGGGGTCTGGAAACGAAGATGACAAGACACTTCCCAGGTGCTGCAGCCGGGGCAGGGCATGGGGGTCCTGGTCCCTGGTGGAGGATGGGACCCTGGCTCACAGCCAGGTGACATTTAGAAGAAAAAAGCACTGGAGCCTACCTGCCCTTGACCTCTGTGCCCCAGCCTCCAGCTGGGAACAGGTCGGGGAAAGGGTGATTTTCTGACGTCTCCACCTACGTGGGAAAGGAAATAGAGAACTCACCCCCGGCTGCTCTGAGGAGCTCTCCCCTCGGCCCTGCCCCAAACCTGCCCAGCTCTTCCTCCCTCTGCCGCGTCCCCTGTTCCCTTCCTGTGTCCACGCTCTCCCCTACCTCTTGCCACTGCCTCTAGGGAGCTCCAGCCCGGGAAAGGCCAGCTGGCCCACTGTGCAGGTGGCAGAGGACACAGGACAGAGGCCCTGGCCAGGCCCTTGTGGATGAGTTAGCTAAGTGCTGGCTCCCAGGCCACCAGGAAAAGAGACCCTGGGATGCAGGAGCTGGCTGCCGGCAGCCGTTCCTGTCCGTTGTCCAGCTCACCTGCTGCCCCCTAGTGGCAGTCTCAAGGCTGCTCTTTGCAGTGGGTCCACCCTAACACAGGTGGCTACCTTTCTTTTTAAATGTTGTCTATTTGTTTTTGAGAGGCAGACAGACAGAGCTCCCACCCACTGGGTCACTTCCCAAATACCTAACAATCAGGGCTGGGCCAGGGTGGAGCCAGGAGATCATCCAGATCAGGAACTCCACCCAGATCTCCCGTGAGGGTTGTCAGGCCCAAGTACTTGAGCCATCACCTGCTGCCTCCCAGGTGTGCATTAGCAGGAAGCTGGAATCAGGAACAGAGCCAGTAATGGAACATAGGCCCTGGGGCATGGGATGCAATCGTCCCAACTGGCATCTTGATGGCTAGATTAAATGGCTGTCCCTATGAAGGAAATTTTTAAAACTCATCCAAGAGCTGAAGAGGGAGAAGGAAGAAAACCCCCAGAAGACATAGTTCTAAGTGTTTTTTTTTTTTAATATTTATTTATTTATTTAAAAGTCAGTTACACAGAGAGAGGAGAGGCAGAGAGAGACAGAGAGAAGTCCTCCATCCGATGGTTCACTCTCCAGTTGGCCGCAAGGGCCAGAACTGCGCCGATCCGAAGCCAGGAGCTTCTTCTGGGTCTCCCACGCAGGTGCAGGGGCCCAAGGACTTGGGCCATCTTCCACTGCCATCCCAGGGCACAGCAGAGAGCTGGACCGGAAGTGGAGCAGCCAGGTCTTGAACCGGCGCCTATATGGGATGCCGGCGCAGTAGGCCAGGGCATTAACCTGCTGTGCCACAGGGCCGGCCCCTCTAAGTGTTTCTGAAGCGTGTGATGTCCACGTGGGCCCAGTCTGGGTTCTCGGCCCCACTGCTCACTGCCTGGTGCCATCCTCTGCTCCATAAACAGCCCTTTCTCAGGCCACACTGCAGTGAGGGTCAGACTCCTCTAAATATGGCTCCTGCCGTGGTCTGTCTTCCAGGGCCTCAGGGGACATGGTGGTACGACCCTCTCAGCTCAGCCTGCCCCTCTCCAAACACTGCAGCTAGAGCCAGTGGGCCTTCTAGCAGAAAGAGCAGGGCCATCCTGCAGGCTCCCTCCCTAGTGGCTGGCCCCAGGGCATGTGGGCTCAGCTCCAGCAGGCCTGACTGCTGCCCAGAGCGGCCTCGTGGGTGGGCTGAGCAGGTGAAGAAGCAGTCTATTCCCGCTGGGGATTCCCACGTGCCTGCTGGCCCTGCAGCTCTGGCCCTGCACAGGTCACTGCCTCAGCCCATTGTCTTCACTGGTGTGATGGTTAACTGAGGGGTTGAATCGACTGGATTAAAGGATACCCAGGGGGCCTGGCGCTGTGGTGCAGCGGGTTAGCCCCGGGTGATGCCGGCATTCCATGTGGGTGCCAGTTCAACTCTCGGCTGCTCCACTTCCAGTCCAGCTCCCTGCTAATGTGC